CTCTCTCTGTATTTTCTATGTATTTATGTAAAAGATAAAAGTGACTAGTATCTAAGTACAGAATAGATTCAAGAATTAAGTGTCTTTTCTTGTGCTAGACTTGTTGGTGCTATGTCCCAACATGTCTGCAGATGTAATTAATGACATTAATAATGACTGGATTCCATTTAGGAATGGGCCCTTTGTCTTACTGGGACACTTAAATGGAACAGAATTTATGGTATTAGCTGCACCTGTGCTTTTCATGCTTTAACAGGCCGGCTGTGAAAAAAGCTGCGTGGAATTCAACAAAGAAAAAAAGGATGATAGTCATAAATTATAAAAAATTGGATACCACAGACAGACTTCAAACAGATCAGTGGTAGTTTTAATATTAGGTATCTCATTTTTTTTTTTTTAATTAAGAGGCTCTGGGGACAGTTACTGCCTCTCAAAACTGACTGACGGGTGAAGACTGTTTGTGCACCGAGCTGACTGATCTCCAACACCTCGGCCAGACTCAATGCCACACTGCTCAGGTTTCTCTTCCTCTCGCTCCCTCTGAATGTCAGTCAACAGCTGCTTTTGAAGATTGAAAGCTGTTGCTGTAAACATTCGTAGGTATTTCACATTCTCATAACCATTGTTGCCAGTGCTTGTTGAAGCCTCCCTTGTAGCTGGTTGGGCCAAATGCTTTCATACACACAAGTGTGCCTAAAGGGGATTAAGAATTTAAGAAGATTAGATTAATGAACTCATGATTGTAATCTAGGGTTAATTCATTTTGCTGCACTTTAACCCAACCCTCCCTTCCCCTCATTGAGCCCAGTGTGGCTCAACGCCAAACTGGTCTCAGGACATATGTGTATGTGTATGTGTGTGTGTGTATGTGTGTGTGTGTTTTTTTTGCATGCGCTTGGGTGTTAGCATTGTGTAACTGGTCATTAATTACTCTTAGGCAGGCACGCCACTAATCAGACCCCCCGCAATTATTCCTCAATGCCCCCAGCATTGCAACAAGCCACTCACACAGTGTCTGTTGACAGTGACAGTAACCGTCACTCGATTGTTGCCTGCAGACTCACTGTACCACATGTTTGTTCACTCAAGGCAGGTGGTCTTCTCAGTGAGGTCATCCCGTCTGAAACATAAGGAGAGGGGTCCTCGTAGACGGGGTCATCCTCATGCCCGGGCCTCAACACCAAACAATGCAGAGGTTCTAATGACTTTCTATTTATGCTGTTGCCTCCTGCTTTCCACATAGTTTTAGTTTGAAGTAAATCTATTTACCCTGGGCAAGTTGGCCCAGAAATATTACAATAACTTGGAATGATTGACTGAACATTAATGCAATACAATTATGCAATGGATAAACACAATATATCGAATATCCTGAATGTAATCACACACCGTAAGCATATATTATTCATTTTTTTATTAAAATTGAATTTCCAATACAGCCTGCTGTGGAGGATCAGGGTGAGATAAATAGCTGTTGTGATGTTTTCTGAATGAAAATTTCTTCTCACAATTGATTCCCAAATTTAGTTTTAGCCAAAACAAACAAGAACATGTATCACATTACCTTTATATACTCACTGTTTTATTACCTGTTTATATCTCTCTATACATCTCTGTATATATATATTCTCATTCACTGCACAGCCTGTTTTCATTACAGCTTGACTCTTTTTTATTACCATCTACTACTAATATATTATATTATTTTATATCTTTTTTTTATAAATGTTGTATTTAGATCCCTTTATTTAACATCTGAACTATCTTGGATTCTCATTTTTACTTGCTTGATTTTCTTTCTAAACATTTTGTAATAGTATTGTTGGAGGGAGCCTGAGATCTAACAATATCATTGCCAATGACAACTAATAACTTGAAACCTGAAAACAAAACAAGAGCATTTCATATCTTGGCATTGCATATTTTTTGGTAAAGAAGTATGTTGTGTATATTTAACTGTTACAATCAGTGATCAATCTAACACTTTACCGATAAACAGAGGGCTGATTTTGCATTAAAAGCAAAAAATGTAAAATCGAAGAGTGTAATTCTCTCCTTTAAAGTTTTAGACTGTGTGATTCAGGTGAGTAGGCCGATACCTCCACCGCGCGGCAAACACGCGTGTGTGCGTGCACGTGTGTCGTTAGGAGGGATGGGACAGTGTTGTTAACATGTGTATAGTATGAAATACAAAACGTGTTTGCTAGCGGTAGATTTATTCCACTGTGACTCGATCTTGTCGGCTCACCGAAAAAAAAAACACATTTCCCATGTCGGACTCGGAATCACCTTTACGGAAGTGACGTATGTAGCCTTCCGTTGCTGTCAAGGGCATCGAAAACTATCGTTCGCCGAACCTAGCAGTAGCTGTCCACACGTGCATTTACAGAAGACCGATACAGCTACAGGTTCGGTAGCGACTCCAGCGGAAATGGACGGGTTCGGGTCAGACTTCCCAGCAGGTGGATCGGGTGGTAAAGTGGACACCGGTACGATCATGGAGCAGGTTAAGGTCCAGATCGCAGTGGCTAACGCTCAGGAGCTGCTGCAGGTAAATCAATGGACACAGCTGCTAAGCTAGCAAGGCTAACCTCAAACTTGTCTAACTTACTAAGTTAAGTGGCAGAGTAACGTTAAATATAGTAAATCAATTAGGGGATGCACCTTTGTTAATCCTCTCACCGTTATAAAGATGTCCTCACCACAACAATGAAATATGACTTATAGAAACGGTAGTCATTGAAATGCTGTTGTCCAAAACCATGACTCTTTAACCAGATGTGACTTTAAACCAGATTAATTGAGTGTTTTCACCTAACGTTACCAGATGCACAGCGGATGATGTTGGGGACTGCTGTTGTGACTTCAGTTCAGCTGTTAGTAATGACGTGAATAACGTTTTTGTCTTTCTGTTTCAGAGAATGACAGACAAATGCTTCAAGAAGTGCATAGGTAAACCTGGGAGCACGCTGGACAACTCTGAGCAGGTATGCGCTGGGCCACAATGAGCAGTTTAAGATGCACAAAGATTAGAGTTGAAAAGACTAATCAATTGGCAGATAATCTCGAGTCAATTTGGTCATCTATGATAATCTCATGTGAAGATTTGCTACTTTTCTGGGATTTCTATGAATGTGAAGGGACTGTCTTTGAGTTTTGGACTGTCTGGACTGACAGTCCTGCACTGGGCATTTTTCCCCAGCTTTTAATACATCATAGACCAAATGATTAATTGACAAAGTAATTAGCTGAAGGATTTATAATGGAAATAATTCTTAGTTGCAGCCTTTAGAAAAGACCATGAATTGTGTCTCTATAACTGCCTTTGTTCTCACAGAAATGTATTGCCATGTGTATGGACCGGTATATGGATGCCTGGAACACCGTGTCCCGAACATACAACTCCAGATTACAGAAGGAAAGAGCTCGTATGTGAACATCCCTCTCTTCATCCTAACTTTCCCTTCGTCTGGCTGCTGCTTATGGTGAGGAGGAGTACAGTGTTTCCACTGGAGGCTGTGCACAGGTGTGTCGTGGCAGCAGCAGCACACCGTCGCCATACCAATACCTTACAGACAGACAGAGAGAGACTGTGGACCCTAGCCATAACAAAAGTCTCTGCGGACATTTTCATTTTTGCTCTGAGGAACAGTTAAGAAACAAAGTTTGATTATTTGTGTTTTTATGTTATGAATAAAGACATATAGGTCACGAGATTTGGAAACTCTAAATGCCTGTTGGAATGAACATAAGTGTGATTAAGTACTTGTTGCCCTGTGATAGACTGGCGATGTTTCCAAAGAAATTTGGAGTAATTATTGCAGTATCTGTTTACTTAATAATGTGACTTCAACAGAAACACTGAAACCTCCTTGCCTTTAAATTAAGGCTGAATGTTTCTTGTGTTTAAGAGCCTGTATAATTGGGACACATAACTGTAAACAGGACTAATGTCTCTGTAACCACAATGTCATAAAATACTATCGGCATGTTTGTTGCCAATTCTTTTCATTGTGTTTATGCTCAGAGAAAGATGTGACATTTTTACCGTAGATAATAAGCTGCACAACTGGAGCCCTTAAGGGACAACACAGGCTTTACTTTACGTGCTTTTACACTAAAAGACCGACTTAAAATCAAAAGGAGGACTTGAGGACGAACTTGGTGTTTTCATAACCGTGAACCTGACATTCACAAGCCTCCAAACAGTCCTGTATCAAAGTACGCCTGGAGAACAAAACTGTTTTGTCTGATCTGTTTTCTAGTTGTCACTCTATCTGCCGCCCTCCACAGTAGTGGGCTTGTTTCAGCAGGGTCTGCCTTGCTGTACACGGGGTACTGAACCTTTCTCATCTGTATGTGCACACACCTTGTCAGATGTCTGGGAAGCGCACTCATTTTTTTTTTCCCCCCCTATCCTGCTGAAATTATGTGGGGAAGTAAGAGCCACAAAAGCTTGTGAACGTTATGTGCAGTGTGTGTGTGTGAGCAAATGGAAAGGTTTTCATGAACAATCAATAAATCTCGTTTATCAGAGTACTCTCTTGTGTCTCATCAAAAAGAGTGTATGCCAATGAAACATCACCATAGGTTTATCAAACTTAAGTCAGAATTATATTAAAGCTGATTCCAGTACCACTTTCTTCATACAGAACTATATATTTCCCAGAAAACCCACCCTTCAGTAACACTTATTACACCGCATTTTTGTCTTATTTTCTTAGAATATATATATTTTTTTTAAAAGACAAGAAAATGTACCCATAAATGAACCACGTATATTCAGAACCCCACACAAAATGAAGAAAAAGAATACACCATGTACAGTAAGTTTACCGGTCAGGAAAATAAATAACTGAAATAAATACTTTAAATCATGCATGTGCGATCAAAATGTCCACAATCCAGTTCAGTATTCTCCTTATTTCTTCAGTACATTATGAAAGAGGATGGTCCCAATTCAGATAACTGCACAGTATTACAAACAGCACCTAAGATCAATACTGTGGAAACTATGTATGTGTGGCTTTTAGCATGACTTTGGTCCTTTTACAGTACAGTTTTCTGGAGAAGATGTATCAAGAAAATCCACGTGCTTTGTCATCTTTTTGTGGTTTCAGCTTCTTTTTTTTGGTCTCTTCAGAAAGGCAGGTATGTAGATATCCATTTCCTGACGGACGTAATACGAGTGTAAACCCCCGGAAAACCAATTCGCCCACATCCATGTCCCCAGCTGGTCACTCCAGCAGTAAACCACTGGCCAGAGGGCTCGCGGCAGGTCAGCGGCCCTCCAGAGTCTCCCTGGATGACAGGGAAGAAAGACCAAAAGTTTGGCTTTTAATAACTTGTAAGAAATTAAAATAACCTCAACGCAACGCAGTCTCCAGCATGTAAAGAGAGTAAAACAATTAAGGATGAGTGAGGGATCAGAAGAGTGAAGTATAAAGAGAATGTCACTTGGATCGCTGCTGAGATGCCAGGTGCTTTGACCGAGACAGGAATGCATGTGGGTTTCCTTACATAAGGAGATTACAGAGAGGAAGCGGGTGGAAAGGGGGGCTCTGTATTTTTAGGAAAGAAAGTCTGCTCTCTCTCCCATCAGATAAGTATCTCTCACTTAAGTGTTGCAATGTTCCTCAACAAGTAGCACTTGGGCTTTCGTCATCATAATATCTGACAAATATTTTCAAAACCGTGAATTATTCATATGCTTTTTCTTTTTTTCCAAAGACAAGTCCTTGACACTTCTAAAGAATAAAGGGCAATATTTACTTTGCTCTGACCTGGTTAACCATCCACTGTAAAAAGATGTATCGGTGCCATGGCCCTATTTCCCAGAGCACTGATGTTATCTTGGTCCACAATCTTACTGCTCAGGTGAGGCCAGGACAGTACCGCCCAGATGTCCGGCCTAGTTCCAGGCTGTGTAAAAGGTATTTGGGTAACTTGGTAGAATGTCCTGCAACTTACCAAACAGGTGTCCCTCCCTCCCTCAATGGAACCAGCACACATCATGTTAGGAGTGAGGACGTTTCCATAAGACTGCTGGCAGTCTGCCTGGTCAATGATGTTCACTGCAGCTTTCTGCAGCAGGTTGGTCAACGAACCTGTTGCCAAAAAATGATATTAGTGGGTAATGCATTTTCACAAAGATCAAGTCTGATTCCAATGCCGTTTCCAGAAAGACAAGTTGCATTCTTGAAATGCCATTTTTTTTTTTTTTTTTACTACTGTGAGCGCCACAAATCAAATTCCATTCACCTCCATTGTTCTGGTGTAGCAGCAGGGGTTTCAGCGGTAGATAAGTCAGAACCTCAGCACATAAAAGTGAAGCTACCTGCATGGCTACATACCAAAAGAGTAAGTGATAAATACTGTGTGAGCAGGCCATTTGGTAGTGTTTAATATTATATGTTATCATATTGTAAGGGTGGAGGGATAATGGGGCTGTAAGGACTTGCCTCAGTACAAAAATCCCTTATTTAAAAAACAAGTTTTTAGACTGGTTTTATTCAGTCTTTAGGATCAAGAGGATGTAGAACTTTTGCTCCTCCGATGTTCTCTTGCTAGACACTTGTTAAAATTCCTTATGGACAATGATATCCAATTGTCGAATTTCTTGTAAATTGTAACATCATTACGCAATTGTCCAATGTTTTCTTGGAAGCTGAGCCCGGTGTCGGTGAAATATTAAATCCCTCACCTCCTTCCCTCATGGATCCCCAGCCTGTGATGTAGCACTCTGTTTTCTTGAGGAAGCGGTGCACCGGTGAGGGGAGGCAGACTGACTGGATGGTGTAGGACATGGGGGCTGGGACTGCCAGCTCCAACAGAGCCACGTCATGGTGCATGTTGGTGCCATTGAAGGCTGGGTGGATGATGACTCTCTGGATGGGGATGACCAAGGCTCCTACCCCAGAGCGCAGCACAGATCCCAGGCTCACTGCCCAGTTAGTGGGGCTAGGGTTACTGGGGGTTATAAATGAAGACATGCTCAGTACCATCTAGGCTCATCCATTATTATTGATATAAATATTATTGAGGTTCAGCAGTACCTTTTGAAGCAGTGTGCCGCTGTGAGTAACCATTTGCTGTGAATGAGTGTGGCGCCGCAACGGTGCAGTCTCTGGAACTGGAGACTACCAATCCAAGGCCACTCCCCCCTTCGAGCTGTTACTCCACCCACGATCCTGTGGGAGCCCATCGCAGGACGCATGCCGCAGTCTGCAACAAAAACATGCATCAGAAATATTTTCTTTAAATCCAGTATGTGCATTCCTTTACACACATGAACTCACCACAGTTTCTTTCGTCAGACTGGTTCGGGCAATCTGGGACGCTGTCACACTCTGGGTTGACCTTGCTGATGCAGGAGGTGGCGCTACACTGGAAGTGTCCACTGCAGTTCAAGGCTGGAGGACATGATGGACAGATTGTGTGGCATGAGTGTACACAAGTATTTGTGATACTACATTTATGACTGACATCATTTTGTTTCTCTTGGTAACACATGAATGAGTGATCAGTAAATCAAAGTGTAACCTTTTTTGAAATTGGTTCAGTATTGAGGGAGTGCGCTGCAGACAACAGCCGCTAAACAGGCTGCAGTGTAATCGCTGAGGGCTATTCCTCATTGTCAATTTACATGCGCTCAAAGTACTTGTTTTTGCCACTGACATCATAAAGACAACGGTAACGCCTGCCCACTACTCCCTCCATGCCACAGTGTTATTGACTACGTTTCCATTGTATTTGACCTGAGAAAGATCCAGGTAGGATCAGAATGCAATACAATTGTGGCATGGAGTAGTGTGCAGGCTTAACCTTTTGCTCATTAGTCGCTTACACACAAAACATTGGAAAATAATGTCCAGGTTGAAAAACACCAGTTAACTGCTCTCAGCATGACATTACCAGTCAGTGTTGGTGCAGATGACACATCCATGGCTATGGTCCTGGGTACTGACGGGTTATAAAAGCTTTCTCCTGGCACAGTAACAGGCACAGTGGGAACATGCTGATAGTAATCTTGGACCAAGCTGGGATCTGTGTGGCTTAAAATCCAGTTGCGGAGCCTGGTGATGCGGGAATAAACCCCAGGCTTGTTGATCTGGGCACAGCCAACACCCCAACTCACCACCCCAGCCAGGAAGAACCTCCCTGGGGCCCCTTGACACACCAGAGGCCCTCCAGAGTCACCCTGCAGGGAAAAAAAAAAGACCTCTGATTCTGTGATGTGAGAACAGTTAAACTTGTTAGTGTCATTTTTGTGACATTCCTGTTTCAACTTAAGTTCAGTTCAATGTCAGGTGATCAGTGTTCGTTGATTAGGATGCACACTGTAATTTCCATGATTGACCCTACTTATAGTTTCAACATCATCAGTGTCTGTATGCAAACTTTGTCCTGAGAAAAGAAAGTATTGTAATAAAATGTCATTTGATAGCTCGTGCTAGTCACCCTGTGGAGAACCAAGTGAAACAGCACTAACCTGACACGAGTCCACCTTGCCCTGCAGGAATCCGGCACACATCATGTTGTGAGAAACAGCTCCTCTGTACACAGATGACTTATTGCACACCTTGGAGTCAATGATTTTCACCACCGCCTTCTGCAGTGTGGGAGGCACCTTAGCTGCATGGCAGAAGAGCACAAGATGACAGAATCACTCATACTGATCATACTTCAACATGCAGTCCTGCAATAATTTCCTCAACTGACTGACATCAAATGCCATAATTGCCCTGTTTAGGTATTGTATCCACATTATAAAGGATTTGTTTCTCACTATCATCTGCTTATCCCTCATTTGTTGATGTGTGAAAGTGTACTCCTGCAGGCGGACTCACGATTATACTGGTGTAGTGCACCCCACCCTGAGACCACGCAGCTTTGTCCGGGGGAAAACACATAAGACGAGGAGGGCAGGCAGACAGGCTGGATGTAAGAGTTGAAGGTGAGAGGGGTATCCAGCTCCAGTACAGTCACATCGCTGTCAGTGGTCAAAGAGTTGTAGTCTGGAGACACAACCAGCGACTTGATGTTAATTGTTGTGGAATCTGACTCCTCCCCGCTCACTAGCCTGGCCCCCACAAGGGCCGTCCAGTCTTTGGGGTCCTTGTTCCTAGAAAACAGATTATAAAAAAGATTAAAATGTGGTTGTCCCTTAAATTTTTAATGCTGATGTGGCAAGTTTAGTTAATCTCACTGATTGGGAGATTCATAAATAACTCCTCAGTGACTTGGAAATGATGCCTACCATGCAAAGCAATGTGCCGCACTGACCAGCCAGCGTTCGTTGACGATGGAGGCTCCACATGTGTGGCGTCCATAGAGTCTCAGACTGACCTGCCACGGCAGCTCGCCTTTCCGGGCATCCTCGCCACCCACTATACGACTCCCCATAGCGGGACGTGTACCACAGGCTGAGAATATAAGTTTGATGATTCAAGACGGAGATGAAGCGGTGATGTTTTTATTTTTTCTACAGGTAACCTAACATATAACAGTCAGGGATAGTTTATTGTTGTATACCAATAACAACTGAGAAAAGAAAATTGAATAACGAGGCTTAAAAGGACAGTAGCAGTGTCAAGTAATTTACCACAACGAGCTTCGTCAGATCCGTCTGCACAGTCGGGGACGAAGTCACACTCTGGATTCAATTTTGTGACACATTCTCCATCGTCACAAGTGAAGGTGTTGTCAGGACACCTGGCTGGAGAGCCCAGGTGAAAGAAAATGTCAAGATGAGAGTTAGAGGATAAGGTAAAATATCAAAAATAGTACAAGTATAATTTGTAATAATATTTGTATTTGGAATTTAGATAAAGTATAATTTGTTTAAACATAATATTAAGAAGGATGGTGATGCTTAAGTAAAATAGTACAGAGCTTTATTGGTCCCTGTATTCATTCCTCCTGTTCATTCTGCATGAAGAGATCCATTCCTAACGTAACTCCATCGTGTGAGATTGAGAATAAAATCCACATTCCTCATTACATACAAAAATATACCCCACATTTCCACCAAAGTTACAAAGAGGCTTTTTGCAGTCAAATCGCATATTTCAAAGTTATAGTTCTTCAGTGCAAAATTCCCCTTTTAGTGTCCCTGCTCTGTACCGCCAGTGGATGGACAGCAACACAAAGAGGGAACTTTCTACTAAAAACCAACTTTGGACGACACCTGCCTGATTTGGCTTACTTTAGAATGTTGAAGACTCATTTTGTCTTCAGATAAACTTTAGAATGCATTTTTGCACAGAACGACGACTGTGAATTTCGTCCCCCACATCACATCTTGGAATTACGTAATGAAGGGAAACATGGGTCAACGTATTCACTCACCTATCATCTCATCTCCAATAGAATAAAATGACTTCCCACTGGCTCCTAGGAATGAGGAGAAAGACAAAGTGAGGACTTTGGAAGCCCTGACACACAACATCACACAGCTGTGGCCTGTTTCTGTTACTCCCACTACTACACACATCCACATCCACCACAGACTGACAACAGTATAGTTTTACTACCAAGTAAGACGATAGCGTTGATCTCTCCGAATTCTGGCACCTCCAGTGGTTTCCCGTGCATTACTGAGCCGAGTCCTGCTCTCAGCAGGTCCTGAACAAAGTTGTCTGAATACTGCTGGACCTTGGACACCCTGAAGACCAGTCTGAATGTTGCCATCACGTCACTATTAATGTTACTGGGAAGAAACAGACAATGCTGTTTGTTTAATCTTTTAGATGCTTTTTCGCTTGGATTAAGTCATCTATTCAGTTCAGTTTTGACTCACCCATAGGCAACAACACTGCAATCAATGTAGTGATGTGATATCGACGAGGCAGTGAAGATATTTTTGATCTGTAAGAAGGGAAAATGTAAAACTTGAAACCTCTTAAAATAAAATATTGGGCTCTCAACATGGCGACAGTCTGCACTAACCTTGGACTTTAAAACTGAGGTCAGTACTATGGAGAAACCAGAGTTTTCATCCTGCAGAACTGGATCATACTTCAGACCTTTCAGCTCCACTGTCTCCATAAAATTATGCTGCTCCTGCACCAGGTAGGCTGGCAACGACAGAGTAGGAGTGGTTCATTCTTACAGAACAATTACGGTTAGAATATCGTGTTTAACAGAGCAGTCGGAATAGCTGTTGCGACTATATATGTCTAAGTATGTGATTATGTGGTGAATGTGATACTCACCAATAAGCAGGCCTACAAAGACCCCAATAATGAGGAGGAAGAAGATGAGGAAGGCTATGAGGGTGCTCCTGCAGGAGGAGGCAGGGTTGGAGGAAGCAGAGGAGTCTCCTGAAGAAGACCACGGGCCTCCTCCTCCATCCTTCTTCACCTCCATGTTGTATTCACAGCACCAACCTCACAACTCACATTGCACTGTATCCAGTATCATAATGCCCTACAGACAAAATGATCCAGTCCTGGTAAAAGATACAGTGACAATAGTTGGAAATTGGAAATAACAGACTGAGATGTTATTGTAAGTGAGGCATTGTGTACTAATGCAATGGGTAAGGCTGTACAACAGGGTGGATGTCAATGTTCCGAGATAAATAAGAACACATTTTTTATTTTGACCATATATCACAATATGAAATGTTTTGTGTTCCACAGTTTTGTATTATAACAGAAAAAAATCAGCAGGTTACAAAACAAAGAAAATAATAAAGTCACAGGGATAGTCGAAAAATACTGAATGACGTTATCACAAAACAAATTATACAATAATTAACACGATGGTACCCAAGAAAATGAGGGACTCTGGTCACACTAATACTGGGAAAACAAATTGTTTAATTAAAAGCCCAGGTGTTGCTGTAAGAAAATACTCATTATAAAGTCGTTATGACTACACAGAAAATTAAAGCAGCGACTCTGTCCGGGAGAGCTGGCTGAGATAGACTACGGGACGTGCGTAAAACAGACCAGGGAGGCCATGTTGCATGGCGACCACAATTCAGATGTGCAAAAAGGTAACACTTAAAACATCCCGTTTAATTCTTAGTAGATAGAAGTATTTCAACGAATAAATGGACTCGGTGAGAATTTTCACTGCACCAGCAAATTACGCACGGTGAGTCCGGGTTTATTACAGCGTGAAGCATTACACAATAGAGGCTCTATGTTCTGAAGTAAACTCACTCACTTCTTTCCTCTGAACGCTGACATTCACGATGTCCCGCAGTTCTCGGTGTAGGACTTGGCGCACACAAGAAAAGATACATGGATGGAGGAACACAAACGAGAGGACGGAGAGGTCCGCTTTTTGTAACACCTGCCACGGGGCGTGCCGCAGGTAGCTCACCTTTTCAGTTTACTTTAGAAAGTCGGCTCGGCTTCACAAATCCCCGGCCGACCCTCCTCCCATCGGTATTGATCCCTTCGGTTCCACCCCGATGTACACAGGCATTTATCCTGTCACCTCAGAGCTCCCATTATCTCCAGCTACATAATAAGTATATGTTACTCGTTTACGCAAATTAAAGCAAATTGAAGGAAAGTTAAAAAACAAACAAAACAACGGGCATAAATTTCTCCTCAGTGGAGCCCAGTGCTCCCTCTAGTCGCTGCCCGTCGGTGCTCCATTGACACAGTAACTGAGCAGCAGAGGAGCGAAGCCTCCTGGAAATCTGGCTGCATGTCCCAGGTTCACAACAGCTAGCCAAGTATTAGGGTCCTTTTACAGGGATTAAAGTTTCTTTTAAGGTGCCTTAACTGAGAGTTTTTTAACCTACACTTAGTTTGACAACGAGGGAGGAAGTGAAGTTAGATAGAGGTATGTTCAGGAGGTTTTAATTCATAAATCTAAGATGATATAAATATGTTTCACACTCTAATCTAAATGCTATGTGAGATTTGGAGCCCAAATTCAGGATGTAAGAAAACCCCTCCATTAATTATAAGTGGCACAAATATCAGTTTGTAACAGTCCCTTATTTAAAATGACTTGGACTATTTTAGCAAAAATGCATTGCCTTGCTATTTTTAATGGCAAATCCTATACTTACATTATCCCCCCACCCTGCTTAAAGCAGAACCGAGTTAGAGCCATTATTACCACAAACGCCCCTTTGTTTGTGTGCAGACAGGCTTGAGTGGCTTATCTTCACAAACACAACACACACTCCCTTAATTCCTTTAAACAGTGTCAAAGATAACAATCGATTACTTGTTACTGCAAAGGAAAGAGAGGATGGAGCTGTGGCCAATCCAGCAGTTTGTCCACAACCTAAATGTTTTATAAGTACCCCAACTGGTCTTAACTAGTTGGTCAGTTTTATAAAAGATATGACAATCTATTAGTATGTGTGATTATTAAAAGGACTGCATGTGAAAATTAGCTGTAGCTAACTCACTTTTTTATAATTTAGCCTTTATTTAACCAGGAAATGTATTTCGTAGGCAACAATGACACCGAGTTGCAGAAAGAACACAAGTGACAGTAACTCTGCTAAAAAGTGTCGGATGGCTGAGCGGAAGAAAATATCAGCTCGATGTTCATTAAATTGCATCGACTTTAAAAAAAAGAAAGAAAGAAAATCAATAAATTAAATTATGCCATCTAGTTCTGCATCCACTACGTACAAGAACAAGGGAGAACAAAATGTACTCAACATACATTTTCATTTTATTTTCTTATCAAAAACAACAAAGAATAGTAAAAAGTTTCTTATTGTGGATAAAAAGAAAATGATACGGTTAACTCTTCCCAAACTTGTGGGCTCTATACAACTCAAATCTTTGCAAACTTGCACACCACAGACAAAAACAAAGCTGAAGTGCTTTCAAGTGCCCCTCTGCTGTAAAACTTAAGATATCTAACAGAAATTTGCTCTGAATGAAGCGAGTGACGGACAGCGTATTAACCATCCTGTTGCTGTACGAATGGGTTTGGAATAGCCTCCATGCCGTCCTGAGGACAGATTAGCACGACGGAGGTTCCTCTGCAGACCACCAGACCCAGCTGCCTGGTGTCTTCTGTCAGCTTCAGCTGGTCATCTGGATCTGGACAGACATTGACAGATTAAGGTTAAAGACACAAGAATCCACGTTTACATGTCACAGACAAAAAGATCAATTTAAATTACCCTTTTTAAAATTATTTATTTATTTAAAAATGTATATTTTGCTGTATAGATAGGGAAAAGAGCCGCCATCATGTAACCTTTGGTTTGGCAGAATAAACACAACAATGGCATATTGCTGCCCATCTATAATCCATACTTCTAGTCTTCAGTTTACATGTCACAGTTGGTGTTCCTGCCTTCGTACTGGTCTGGTGTAGAAGTCTGTTCCCCCTTTCAAATAGTGTTTCCGGTAGGGCATAGTGTATTAACAGGCTATGATGAGGCATTGCACAGATGACTAGTTTGAGTAAGTTTTTTGAAGTTAAGGGGAAAAAAATTGAATCGGGTCATATACTTTGGCAGGATATACACGTTGGTGAAGTCTAGAACTGTGCATGAACCTTTGTTTTGTCCCAGTCATCTCTCCAGACAGTTTCATGGATGTGATAGTGTAATTTGCCCATTGGAGAAGAACAAGTTCCACACTGTCATGTTGGCAGTTTTTTCTTACTTACCACGCATGTACTCGATTGTGCCGTCCAACACCAGGTTCAACAGGGGATCAAACCCCTTCAGGACACCGCTGGCTGAGAGGGAACGACACACAGTTAAAGCTTGCATTAGCCAGGGAATCCCAAATATGTACACTTTCCAACGGCTACATGTGTTAGCATTCACGTTAGCTTATTATCTTCAGAACTAATCCACCTACCCTCTCGTCCTCCTTGAAACTTCACACGAATTGGCTTGTCGATGTACTTCGACAAGTCGAAGATGCTCTCCTTCTTCTTCTTTTCTTTATCCTGCACAGAACAAAGGGACACGTGTCTGTAAGTCAGACGAAAGCTAGCCGCAAACAAACACGGACTCAGCCTGAGGTTAGCTTTGCTTGGCTAGCCAAGATAGCGAACGTGAGAAAAAACGCCACTTTACTTTCGAGTACTTCTCGGACGTCGTGTTCAGAATAAACAACAACTGGCTAAAGGAAACCACCTTTCTACTTTTGCACCGAATGCGCATGGGTTTGAATGAAAGCTAAAACCATATGAACTCACCGCCATGTTCTCTGTGTGACACGGAAGTGAAACTGTGACCTCAGAAGTATTCCACCAATCAAATCGTTGAGCGCCTGTAGCTGACGTCATTAGCATAACCCTAACTCTATTATTAATTTACTAATAGGAGACAATTATCACAGTTTAATAATCAAACAATTAGTGTTTGATTATGAGTCCCTGTGTTATAATTAGCATCTGTTTCTCATGCTGACCTCCTTTCCTTGTTGTTTTAGCCAGCAGTCAGGCAGGGGGAAAGTCTATTAATATATACCACCAGTTGGTGTGTTGTAAACTAGAACGAGGAGGAGGCACTGTGCAGAAGACGGTTGGTGTGCCTGTGAAATGGCCTGCTTAGCCGACACTGAGCTGAAACCTCAGAGCTTTAAATTCACAGTTCTCTCTGAACAGATAAACAAACTTGAGGAGGACGAATCTGCTTTGCATGTGACAAACTTGAACTCTGCCTGTAATGTTATTCCTGATGCTATTCTACGAGTAGAAGGAGAGAGTTTTTATGTCAACCGTCAACAACTGGCCCTCCAGAGTCCCTACTTCAGGGCTCTGTTTTTTGGCTGTGGCCTAGAGAGCAGCAAAAGGAAAATTGAGATCAAAGGTGTGAGTCTGCAGCATTTCAGGGTTTTGATGGAATGCAGCAAGACATCCAACCTAGCTCTGGACAGAGAAAACATTCTGGGGATTCTTGAGACCGCAGACTTTTTACAACTGGAGCGAGCCAGGCTTCTGTGCTGCAAGTTCCTGGAGCGGGAGCTGCACCTCAGTAACTGTCTGGGAATGATGGCCTTCGCCTGGCAGCGGGGCTGCACTCAGCTGTACACTGCAGCACGACAGGTGGTGCTCACACACTTCTCTGCTGTTGTCGCTGAAGAGGACTTCCTATCTCTGTCTAAGGAGACTGTTGCAGACCTTCTTGCCTGTGATGACCTCGCCATCCATAAAGATGATCTGGCCGTGGAGGCCACCCTTCGCTGGGTGTCATTTGATTCAAAACGAGAGGAATATTTTCTGGAGCTCATTCAGCTGGTGAGGCCTGAGTCGCTCTCTTTACCATTTATCACTGAACTTTTGACCAAAATGAAAAGTTCTGACCCCAGAGCCAAGCTCATCGGCATGCTGAATGAACATTTCCCGGCATCTTGGTCAATGGGCAGGTCAATGACGAGAACCAGGGCCAGAGAGACCCTGTTTATCCTGGGTGGACCTCACGACCATGAAAAGCAGTCACTGTACCAATTTCGCCCACTCAGTGGTAGATGGCAGAGCTGTCCCCCTCTGCTGAGGAAGAACCTCACACAGTACTCGGTAGCTGCAGTAGGTAATGTTGCATGTGAATGATAGTGATGAAGATGAGGGTAGAAATTAATTTATTCCTCATGTGGTGTGTGTACATGATGATGCATCTCAAACATCTGTCGTTGTTAAATTCCAATTAACATAACATACATATATTGGACATTGGAATTCTTTTATTACATTTTCTTTATTTTCTCATTTTCTCATTATGTAGGAGACAATGTGGTCGTGACTGGCGGCTACTTCCGGGACGTGCTGTGGTTCTGTGCGGACTGGGTCAGGATATATGAATGTGGGAACCAGCGCTGGGTGGACGGGCCAGCCCTGCAGATGTCCAGACACAGCCACTGCTCCATAGGGCTGGACTCCTCACTGTATGTCCTAGGGGGTTGCACGGATGAAGGGCTTGTGGCTGACGTAGAAAGGCTAGTGCTGGGGTCAGAGGAGGGTTGGGAGGAGGTCAGCCCCATGGTTAGGGCTGTGGAGAGAGCAGCCACTGCTGCTCTGGGGTCGTGTATCTATGTGGCGTGTGGCCTGGATGAAAACGGGGAGGTGTATGGTGGAATTCAGAGGTACATGGTGAAGAACGATCAGTGGGATGTGGTCTCCTATTCTCCATTTCCACGGTGAGTGAATTTTCAAGAGCGCACTCTCTACAGCTTTGCTTTCTGACAGATTCTGACACAAACTGATATTTCTTAATTAGAATATTGTTGTTTTCAATACAGCTTCTCCTTAGAGCCTTGGGTGGCCTGGTAATTATGTGAAAATGAAACCTTCTTGTAACCCCAGATATGACCTGGTTGCCTCAGAGCTTAACGGTGCCCTCTATCTGTTTGGAGGCCAAGCCATGCGTTTTGACGTGGAGACAGACGAGTGGACTGTGCTGGAGGACGAATGTCTGGACAAGAAGTTCTTCTGTGGCTGCACAACAGTCAGCGGAAAGATATACCTGGTCAGCGAGAGGAAGAGTAACAAAGCATTCCCAAACATGGTGGTTACGGACCCTTACACAGACACTTGCATTGAGGTGGATGATGCCATACCCTGCCCTGTGCCGCTTAGAGGGTGTGTCACCATGAGAATGGTCACATGATGACTGATTAAAAGGCAATTTACTCTAATCTATTGTAAGATATATAGTCTAATAACATAAATTGCAGTTGTGTATATTAGAAATGTCATTCAGAGAACTTCCCAAATAAATTTTTTTATGTAAGAGGTCATGAAGTTAGTCTTGCATACCCAGAGCTATCTCCACCACGCTGTGTCAGCGCTAAAGAAAGGTCTGGTGCCACACATTATCATTCTGGTATCGGGTGCCATTGCAAAACAGATAGCTGCGGGAGGAGAATGCCATCTCAAATAGGCAGCCAATGACAGGATTAATCACAGACACTATCCGGTGAATCAGACTAGTGTAAAATAAATAAAAAGCTGTTTCATAAAAAACTACAACAAATGGATTGAATGAACACTTACTCAATACTATTTAAGTCTTCCACTTAAAATAAGACAGCAGTTTTTGGATTTTGGTGGCATTTTCTGCCAATAAATCCCCTAAATGGTACACACTGGCCCTTTAAATGTTTACATTTCATGTAAGCCATAAAGCATTGGACCTTAGTAAACAACTCCTCCAATAAACATATCACATTTCACTAATACTCATCTGTGTGTGCATACCTTTCATGGCTTACCTATTCAGCTCGCCAACATTTCAAGCAAAAGATTAAAACCAGTCACACCAAGTGTTTGTCACAGAATAGTGTAAAAACAGCAGCCAAGGCACAAAACTAAAGTCCAGTGGAGCAATCTTTAACAAAAACCTTGTTGAGAAATCATGCTCCCTGTCACAATGATATTCAAAGTAGAAAAAGAAACACACACACACACACGTTTTAAATCCATAATTCAATGAGCAGTACATTTCTTTGGAAGGGCATCATTTTAGCAGACATGGGGAGTGCCTTCTCTACAGGATATGTTCTTCTTTGTACACCAGGAGGCACCATACCTCTTTTAAGAAGGGAGTTTAAACCTTACTGACAAAATTAAAATCCTATCACAGAAAAATATAACTTTATCACCCCTAACGGACTTCTGCAGTAGCCTTTTAGATTCTGCCACAGATTACAACAACATAAAAACTACCTGTTGAATAAATGGTTCATAAAAAATAGATATATAAAGTGGTTTATCAACAGATTTACTACAATCAATATTCTTGAGTCTATGTACAATCAACCATACCGTGTATGTGGATACAAAGCTGTGGGAGTGAATTACTATTAAATTCTAGTTTTAGGTTGCTCTCATTATGTATCTAATACATACCATGTATTAGATAAGAGCAGTTTGATTTTGGGGAAAATATGTGGTATTCCTTGTTGACCCAAGAAAGCATAAATGCATTATACTAAGGTCCAGGCACTTGGATCCTTATGTATTTACAAACAAGTTATTAATACAATAAAAAGAAACAGCATGAATACAAAATCTGCAAAAACAAAATGATTTGTTTCCTTGTTTTGCCAAATATATCGTTACAGTATGCAGGGGTATGGGTGACAGTAATGATGGCATTTCCTCCTTACCTCACACTGGGTGAGCAGATTTACAATCATCTGTGCTTCTTTGCCCTCTGTGTTTTTTTTTTTAAATAAGCAGGATGCAGGCATATCCTGTTCAGAAATTGTCAATGAACCGTGTTGGATGTACACAAGCCACGTGTACGCAGCATATCTAGGAAATTACTAGTTATTCTTCAACAGGCAGAAGGACACATATTTATATTTTCTGGCAAGGATCAGTCAACGTGGAAGGAGACTGCTCCACTATCTAGCTTTGGGTAGTCTGCTGTTAATATTCCTCTGGTTGGTCAGGTTGTTCAGGACACAGTTGTTAGCCAGCGATGCCAGTTTGGAGTTGATTGTGCCCTTTCTTTGCTCCCAGCTGCACTCGTCCCCTTCTCCCTCAGGCTCCTCCTCTTCATCGTCAACCTCACTCTCCTCATCGCTACGTTCATCGCGCTCCACCTATGACGAAAGGCATACGTTTAAATATACAAATCCTGGTGCCAAAGCGAGTCATTCCCCCGTTCCCTTTTCATTTGCAATCTTCTCACCTTGCCCAGGAACACAAACTTGTAGACCATACGCAGGATGAGATAAGCCCAGAAGATGTGCAGTGCTTGCAGCACTAACAGAAGGGCGTTGAAGAAATAATAACCAAAGAAGGGCTGGAAGAATTCTAGAGACACCACCAAGGTTGTGTGGACCACTCTGGAAAACAAACAGTAAGACACAGTTTTAGTGTTGGTCCAGAACCAACTCTTCAAAGGTTACGAGCATTTTGACCACTCAAATACTGTTTCTCAACTCTTTGTTTGGAACTGTAAACCTTCTGCTCTCAGGTTAAGAAACCAGTGATGTCAGGTTGGTGGGAGAGAGAGAATAGGGCAAAGAGAAAATACATAACATGGACACAGATCCTCGACAGTTCAACATAAGTAAACAGACCTACAAAAACGTGGCAGTGCATGATGTAATATGTGTGAAAGTTGACCTTTTGCTAGGATACGGAGTTGCAAACCATACGACCACTGCAAAAAAAAACAACTTGTTGACTCCCAAGTTTAAGGCTAAGTGCGATGCCATGTGTTTGTTGCAAGGGAATTTCAACATCTGGGAGAAGTTTTCTATTCCACCGTGACAT